GAAATCATAACTTAATTTGTATTTTCTGGTTATAGGACTTTTTGATGGTTCAAGATAAAGATTGAAATCCCATAGGGACAACCTTAATAGATTTGAATACTCAAAAATTCAAACTTCTATAACATTTTGAAAAAAATCATTAATAGGTTAAGTAGGAAACAGCAAAAAGTATATGCCATATGTATAATAGCAAGTAATGTTTCTAACATATAAAGTGAGAAAACACCAAGGCTCTATGTGGATACATAGAGAGTTCACCAAAGAGGGAATAAAAATGAGCAGTATTAATTGGAAAAAATTTTTAACTTCATTACTTGTGAAGAAATGCCAATTAAAGTAAGGTGCCATCTTCTACCTATCCAATTAGTAAACTTTAAAAACTGTGACTACCTAGAGCTAATGACAGGCAGTGAAAATGCATACTCAGATAAGGCATCTAAGGGACACACCCTCTAGGGTGTGAGCCAGAAATGCTACTTTGAGGAGTTTTTCCTGAGGAAATTACCCGAAATACCAAGGCTCATGAATAATGCCATTCATAGCAGCATTATTTATAATAGAAAATTATCATTTATGAAACTATGTCTTAAGGGATGGTTGCATAATTACCAGGATGATCATCACCGTTAATGTTAATCCAGCATCCACCTTGAGCCAGGAAGTGGTGTCCACTAAGCTCCTTGGCAGCCCTTTGATGCTGAGCCCATTACCATCCCCATTTTACGGAACCTTGGAACAGATTGCCTTGGTCACCACCCACTCTCAGGAGTGGGGGAGATAGATGATTCCATCCTGGCTCTCCAGCTCCCAAGGCAGTTAAACATAACGATAATCATGAGGGTGTTTATTAACAGAGTAGGGACATGTTTACAATATAATGCTAAATGAAAAAGGAGGATCCAGAATGACTCTACTGATTTTAAGTGAAAGTATAAAATTGTTGCAAAATGCAGCATGCAGAGAAGGACTGAATCTGTGAAGGGATGGGTGGGGGAGAGAAGGTGGACAGAGAGGCCACAGAGGCAGTGCAGGTATGAGGGGTGGAGGGTGTGGGGTCAGGGCTGCCTTGGGCTCCTGGGGCCACTATTGCCATTACAAAGAGCCTTTGCTGGCCTCCAGGAGATCACACAGAGACCACCATTTGGTGCAATCCGTGAGGGCACAGGGGTCTATAAGACCCTGGGTTTCTTGTCAACCAGAGCCCTCTGCCCCCCACACTCCCCTACCCACTGGGGAAGGTTAAGCAACAGTGCCCTCCTGTTCTGCCAGCCAGCCAGTGGTGCCCGCTCTGAGGACCAAACTGACATCAGATGAGCTGTGAAGGTCAAGGGAGCCAGGGAGGCTGTCTCAGGAACCTGGAGGGCGCTCAGGAATGGCAGCAGAGGACTCAGGATTGATGACTGCCTCCCCTTCAACCTTGCAGTCTCCACCACGGAGGGCTTTGCATCAATGGTGGGACAAAGGCAAGGAGAGCCCAGTTCCCTCATCTGAACTGTGAACTCACCAGCTCTTTGTCAAAGGGCACTCTGGGCATCGGCACAGGCACCCATGCCCCTCCCACACACGGCACCTTGGGCCCCAGGGCAGGCCTGGCGATGTTGGAGGAGCTGCCTCTGGGGCACCGGTTGCACCAAGAAAGGGCACAGGCAGTGCTCTGTGCTCAGAGGCTCCACAAACAGCTGCTACCCTGAGGAAAACATCCTTAACTATTTCAAAGCCAAAAGACAGAAGGGACATTATTTCTCACTTCCCCCAAAATGAAATCCCTTAACTAGGAGCTTCCCAAACCCCAGTCCTCAGAAATCTGGAGCCTAAATTTAGATTGTCCCTGGAAGGTCACCGGATCACCGTGGTGCAGGGTCAGCTGGCAGCTGCTCAAGATAAACTGATTTCTGCCGACTCAGGCCTTTCCCCCACACAATTAATGAGATCCTGCCACACTTCCCCTGGGAAAGCAGAACAATAGCAGCAGATGAGCAGGTGGCCTTGGCTGGCGTGCTGGCCCAAGAGCCCCTCGCCAGAAATCAGGGATGCACACCCTGCCCAGCCTGGACCCTTGGCCTGCAGGCCTGCACCCACCATGTCACCCCAGCCCCACCGGCCTCCTCCTGCCCTTTCCCACCTCTGGGCTCTTGTGTGGAACGTCTTCCTGGTTTTGGGCTGAACTATCACCGCCTCAGAGAGGCCTTCATCACTTGGTGTCACTCTGCCATCTCTTTCCATCACAGCCAAGGGCATACCTGAAAGCCCTTCCCAGTCCCTGGTTGAGGGCAGGAGCCCCCTGGGTGTTCTACCCGGACACGATGCTCCGCGTATAGTAGGTGGCCAGGAGATTCTAGAGAGTGGAAGGAAGGGCAGGCAAGTCTTCACGCCCCCGCAGGCCGGGGCTGGGCCTCTCTGTGGCAGCTCTGATTCAACTGCAGCCAGGCCTACAACCAACACAGTGGTGTCGGGGTAGAAATCAGATTGTGAGAGGTGGGGACTGAGGCCCTTCTACCAAGTCCCCGAGATACTGTGAGGCTGACCCCAAAGAGATGTGGACTCACTGGGGCTGCTCCAGGGTGCCAGGCCAGGATGGGCCCAAAGTGGCAGAGAGAGGGAGGCAGGTGGGCAGGCGAATGGGGAGAACCTTGTGCTGGCTGCAGCTCTGAGGTGCTGGAGGAGTGGCAGGTGGCCAGAGGTCAGCATGGGTCACAGGCAGCCCCCTGCCCAGGACAGATGCATGAAGACGGTCACTGTGCTGGGGCTCGTTCCTGGATACTGGTGGGATCAACCAGCGAGCAGACGGGCAGCTCCAGCTTGGGCCTCGAGAGCAAGGCTGAGGGATGAGGGCAGGAAGGCATCCAAGAGGAAGTGACCTTGGTAACACAACCTAGTAGATGCAGGCCCTGCCCAAGGGATACATACTGCAAGCAGAAGAGGCGTGGGTGTAGACAGACCAGTCTGAGGGCCCAGAGGGAGGTAAGTCTGAATGGAACGTAGAGTATGCTGCTGGACTGGCTAGACCCAGTGCAGCTGGCCCATGTCACCTGGGCCGCTCCCAGGAGTCAGTGCTTCGTCCATGGGCAGTGCGAGCCACAGAGGGTTTCAGGCAGAGCATGACCCAGGAGCAGGGCCTGCTGCGATGCCCAGCTGCCCTGAGGAGAACAACCCCAGTGGCCAAGGGTGGGGCCTGGACGGCCTGAGGAGGCCACAGCAGTCGACCCGGGAAGACAGCAGCGTGGAGTGTCATGGGGGGACCCTGGGCAAGGTCCTTGGACTTGGGCCACAGGGAAGTGGGATTGAAAGGGTGGGTGGGTGGTAGGGCTGGGCCCCCTGGAGTGGATGGGGGAGGAGACGTTCAGAAGGGTCTGCAACAGGAGGGAAGCAGCGAGTGAGGGGTGTCTGGGAGGAGGCAGTGGTCCTTGGAGCTCCATCTATGCAGGGAGTGAGGGGGCTGGGGTGAAAGAAGGGGTAAAATTGTCCTCCCCAATCCCACAGGGCCCAGCAAACTTGCCTTGGGTGCCTCCCCGTGCTGGATGACAGGGTATTATCTCAGCCACCTGAGGAGAAGGAACCGGGCCCAGGAAGGACCGATCTGTTGAGGCACCCAGGCTTTGGCCAGCCTCAAAGGCAGGCCTTCTCTGGGGAGGCCCTGCTAGCAGTCAGGCACCTGGGACCTGAGGAAGGAGTGGGGGTCCTGGTAGCCCCACTCCAGGGCAGAATACAGACAGAGGGGCTGCTTTAGGCAGAGGGGCTGACAGGGAGTGGGGAGGGGGCTGCCAGAAAGGGACTAGTGCCCCTACCTGAGCCTCAGGGGGCCCCACTGTCCATCCCAGTGGGCCTTGGAGAAATGGCTGGGCCATTGTGCAGAAGAATGCCCGGAAATCCCTCGCCTCCCGCCTCCAGCGAGGATGGGGGCTCTTCCTCCCAGTCAGGAAACTCCATGTTGGCTTCCGGAGGGTGGCCTGGGGGCTGGGGTGCCAGGGTAGCACTGCAGCTGGTAGGAGGGCAGAGTACAGCCCCTGCGTTTCTCTCTCTGTCTCTTGTCTGAGGCCTGGAGCAGGGAGTAGGTGGCAGAGCCTGGGGCCACGGGCTGCTCCTGGGAGGATTGCCTGTATGCTGGGTCACTGGGGATTTACTGACATGGTGTAGCCTCAGCTGGGCCTCAAAGGATGGGGGATGGGCAGCACCTACGGAAGAGGAGCAGTCGGTGCAAAGGTTGGGAGGTATGGGAAGCCCCGGCAGCAGGGGCAGAGTGTGGGTCTCTGGAGGCCATGGGAAGGCCCCGTTCTTTCTGCTTCGTGCTGGAGCCGCAAGCCCCAGGGACGTGGTGGCCCTGGGCAGGGCCTTGGACGAAGCAGGAACCCCGGCTTGACCCGCACAGGCCTTCCTGGCTTCTCGGCCTGTGAGGGAGACAGTGTCAGCACTCGAAGGGCCACAGTGGTCGGGGTGCAGAGAAGGGGGCTGTGTTGGGCTTGGACTCCAGGGAGAGCTTCCTGGAGGAACAGGCTGAGCTGTGTTTGGCTAACCCAGGGGCCCTCGGCGCAGTGACTCCAGCCGACCGGGGCCAGGGAAGAGTGGAGCTGGCCTGGGAGGTAGGGACCAACTGGCTCGTTCGAGGATGTGTCGGGGAAATCGGTGCAGACCCAGGGTCATGCAGCTCCTGAAACGGCGAGGTGGGGGCGCACAGGGAGGTAGTGGAGCGTTCGCATAGCCGCCCCAGGTCAGCTTGGAACGGGCTCTGCAGCGACCAGGACAACGGCGGATGAGGGTCCGGGGCCGCCACCGGATGCCCCGTGGTTCCCCGCGCCGCCCGCCGCCCGCCGCCCGCCACCAGCTACCCCCACGCGCAGTTGTTTTCTTAACTCCTGCTGCCGGGGGCGCCTGCGATTGGCTGCGGGAGGATGGCCTGGGCGTGGATTGGTTGCTCAGGGCGGGGGGCCGGGCCTGCGGGTCATAGTCCGCCCCCCGAACCTTCAAATGGGAAGCCCCCCTAGAGGCGCCAGCAGACCCGAGGCTGTGCTGTGGTGCCACCGGGCCTGGGATCGGAGGGAGTAAGCTGTGCGCGCCCGGAGGCCCCGGGCCGTCGGGCGCCCGTCTTGTCTCCAGCCATGGGGTCGGCGGCGCTGGAGATTCTTGGCCTGGTGTTGTGCCTGGTGGGCTGGGTGGGCCTGATCCTGGCGTGCGGGCTGCCCATGTGGCAGGTGACCGCTTTCCTGGACCACAACATCGTGACGGCGCAGACCACCTGGAAGGGGCTGTGGATGTCGTGCGTGGTGCAGAGCACAGGGCACATGCAGTGCAAGGTGTACGACTCGGTGCTGGCGCTGAGCACAGAGGTGCAGGCGGCGCGGGCGCTCACCGTGGGCGCCGTGCTCCTGGCGCTTGTCGCGCTCTTCGTGACCCTGGCGGGCGCGCAGTGCACCACCTGCGTGGCCCCCGGCCCGGGTAAGGCACGCGTGGCCCTCACGGGCGGCGCGCTCTACGCGCTCTGCGGGCTGCTGGCACTCGTGCCGCTCTGCTGGTTCGCCAACATCGTGGTCCGGGAGTTCTACGACCCGACCGTGCCCATGTCGCAGAAATACGAGCTGGGCGCCGCGCTTTACATCGGCTGGGCCGCCTCGGCGCTGCTCATGTGCGGCGGCGGCCTCGTGTGCTGCGGCGCCTGGGTCTGCGCCGGCCGCCCCGACTTCGGCTTCCCGGTCAAGTACTCGGCGCCGCGGCGGCCTACGGCCAGCGGCGACTACGACAAGAAGAACTATGTTTGAGTGCGCTTGCGCGGCAGGGCCGCGAGCGGGAGGACCGGCCAGGGTAGCCCCGCATGGACGGCGGCCTCCGCGGCGCACAGGCTCTGCGGAAATCTGGGTCCTGCGCACGGACCGGACTCTGTCCGCAGCCCGTCCTCTCCGGCCTCCTAGCCGGCCCCAGGCTGCGACCTGCCCCGCAAGGCGACGCGCACTTAGGAAGACTCGCTGTTTCTTTTTGTGTGCAGTGCTGGCTCCGACGTGGGTAGGGCGCGCGTTCCTTCGGCTGTGTGGGCACTGGACTGGAGATGCCGCTCCCTCTCTGACCGTCAGGGTCTTGGATGCCACCCACTCCCTCGTGGCTCCTGCTGATTCCAGAGGGGCAGACCGAGAGCCCAGGGACCCCAGCCTCGGCTGCCGGAGGGACGTTTATAACTGGCCTTCACTCCATCAGCAGGCTGGCCTCTGGGTGCGGCAAGAGACTTGGTCTGGACCTCCCTGTCTCACCCCTGCAGCTCGCCAGGCAAGGCTTACGGGCACAGGATCCTGGGTGTGGGGCTGGGGGCCTGCCCTCCTTCACAGCTTGGGTGGGTGGGATAAGAGTCTGCTTAGTAAATGGTTTGGATACCCTCCCACCTGTGTCCTGTTCTTTGTCCAGTCACCACCGCCTGTGCTTTGCAGCACCCATTCATCCACCTACCCACCAAATTCTCCCCAAAAAGCTCCTGGGGGGACCTTCCAGGGCTGGCCTCTGGGATCCTGAAGATCTCATGGCCACTTCTCAGGTCCCTCCTGCCATCTGGTCACCTTCCCATTGGGTGGGAAACAGCCACAGCTCACTGCAACCCAGGGAGGTGAGATCTGTAGTCAGAAGGGCCACTGCTGAGCCATAGAGCCTGGGGGTGGGGGTGGAGAGCAGGGGCTGTGATGCAGACCCCAGCAGAAGATGCAGGTTGACCCTAGCCAGTGTGTGGGTCTTGGGATACAGGTAGGGCTAAGGGTGGGCTGCCAGGCCGCTGGCTTTGCCTAGAAGAGGCTGGTCCCCAGGCACCACCGGACGGGCATTTTCCACCTGCCCTCCCAGGGTTTAGCCATCTCTGGGTCGCCTCACATGGTTAGACATCTATACAACACTGACTCCATCCTTTCCGCCAATAGTGCAGTGGGAACAGGGGCAAATCCAGGATGTGTGCTAGGCTCCAGCAGAGCTGGCTGCAGGTTGAGAAGCGCGTTGCCATGGGGAGGAGGCACCCGCGGCCGGCTGCCCAGATTCAGCTTCAGCCCCTCCATCCTAGCTCTCTGCACAGGACCTGTGCCCATCTTGGTGGTCTGGCGGCCAGCCCAGACTTAGGCCAACCATCAGCACCTCAGCCCCTGCTGGGAGCACCGTGTGACCTTCCTCCTTCGGGTGGGATTCCTGGAGGGCAAAGCAGACCAGAGCTGTCACAGCCAACAAGAACTCACTGCTTCCAGGGCAGAAGAGAACAGTGGACAGGATCAGGGGCTGCTGGGAGGAGTTCCAAGCCCAGCCAGTGCAGAGGGCTTGGCAAATGCCCCCAAACTCCACCCTGAAGGCCATGTCCAGAAATGCCTGGGTTGGGTCCAATGGCAAGGAATCTCCCAGGCCTGGCCAGGTTCCTCATTGTAGGGAGGGGCAGAACCCAAGGACATAGGCTCAGGGCAGCTACTGTGAACATGGCCCTGAATCCCAGAACTTCCAGGGAGGCTGAACTATCTGGGGGCCTTAGCTCCCAACAGTGGGATGACTATAGAGGGATGGGCCCCATGGCACAGAGGTCCTTAGCCTTTATGGCAGCCCTGCCTGAGCCTAACCTAGAACAGCTCCCAAGCAAGCAAGTGTGTGATCCTGGAGCCTTGGCTCTTGGTGGGGTAGGAACAGAGGTCCTTCCACTTCTGCTCTGGCCACAGGGTCCAGGCAGTGTCGGGTACAGGGGGTCTGGCCCAGGCGCAGGCCTAAGGCTGCCTCCTCCACAGCCCAGAGCTCTCTTGACTCCAAGGCCCCAGGCGTCAGCTGGGATTCTGAATGGTAGCTGCCCAGCCCTCAGCTTCTGCAGATGGCCAGGGTGGGGCAGCTTGAGGGCCCTGGTGGGGCAGGCTGCTGTCCCCGACCCATGCTGGGAAGGGCAGGGGAAAACTCCACTGCCAGAGGTCAGGTGGGAGGAGCAATGCAGCTCCAATGCAGCTGACTCCACTGCCCACTACCCCTCCCCAAGGCCCACCCTGAGACCTAGCCCCCCTAACCCATGTCCTCAGTTCCTGAACACGATTTCTGGGCTTTTCCCACCAACATAAGTGCTGCCCAAACCACTCTGCCACCTCTTGCCTGTGGCCCCAGGTGCCACACCTAGGTGGCCATGGCCCTCCAGCCTGCCTGCTCCCCTGGCACCCAAGCTCTGTGCAGTGGTCACAGATGGCCTCAGCCACTTGCGTGAATGGCTCTCTCCTCGCCAAAGGACAGAAATGGCATCCTCCTTGCCTCCAGATCCCCTCAACCCTGGCAGATGTCCTGGGGACAACTGGGAGGGTGGGGCCAGCTGGGAGGGTGGGGCCAGCTGATCTCATGGCTTCCCTGACAGAGAACTCTTGCTGCTCCAAAGACTTTGGAGGTTGCTGAGGCCTTTCCAGCTTGGACCTTCTGCGATAGGACGTGGGCGAAGCTGACCCCGAGGCCCCTCAGCAAGCCCCTCCCTTCCTGAATTGGGGCCCCGCCCTTGCTATCCCTGCCTGACTCGCCTGGTGGTGTCTGCCATGTGCCCAGAGGTGGGGGGCGCCTGGACAGGCAGGGGCTGGGGGTAAGATGATGGACGTGGAGGGTGGGCCTGGGAGGGGTACATGGTCAAGAGGGTGGACTTGAGATGCTGCCAAGGCCAGTGGACAGGAGGAAGTGGTGGGAGGGCGAACCGAGCCAGGTCCTGGCTGGCATCAAAGTGGTCAGTGGAGGTGCTGAGGGGCCTGGCCTCTGCCCACTGCTGTCCAGGGAGCCTGGAAGCTGTCCCCCATGCTGATTTCCTGCTGGGCATCGGGGTGCCCAGGGCACAGGATCAAGGTCCCTCTGGACATACAAGGCTCAGAGAACAACCAGGCACTAGCCCTGTGACCAGAGCCAAGATTGGGGCACCAAACCTAAAATAATCATTTTATTCCATTAAAAACACTGTCCCTGCATCCAAAACTATGTCCATAACTTACAATCTAAATAAAAGCCAGTTAACATAAATAAGGAGAAGGAGGTCACTTCTGAGGAAATCAAATTCTGGAAAAGAGAAAAGAAAAAATAAATTTCAAACAATTCTGATGGTTCCCCAAATCAAACAAACTGCCCAGGCCTTCCCACTGCTGTGCTGAGCGGCTGCTTCTAAGCAGCCCCACCACTGACAGGTGGGGGGTAGCACCCGCCGTCCTATCTGCTTGAGTACCTTAGGCCACACAGCTCCTGGCACCTCCTCCCCTTACAGACCCTGCCTGGCGGCTTGTCCAGCCTTGGCACTGCCCCCAGCACGCTGCCCCTCACCCTCCCAGGCTGGCTCATCTGGTGCCATCTTGGTGGCAGCTCGCACATGGCTCTGGGATCATCACCAAGCAGGCTGCAGGGAGGGGTCTGCCTCAGATGCCAGCCCCACTGCCCGAGACCCCCATTTGTAACCTTTGATTTAACCCCCCCCACACAAAGGCCCTTGCTGAGGCCCAGCCCTTGAGACTCACGGGGTGTCAGCCCCAGTTCAGATGAGGACACGGGAGCAGCCTGGTGAGGCTCCCCACAGACGTCACATAAGACCCAATCTGCCCCCAGAGCCCTGTGCCCCCCGAGAGAGGGGCTGGGGGAGGTCCCTGAGGCTCCTAGGCCATTCTCAGCAGGGCTCTCACACTCCCAGCTCACCAGGGACGGGGGACGGAGGAAGGACCCTGGGCCGGCAGGAGGGACCCCCCACACCGGAGCCTGGACGGGGCCCGTGTGCCACAGCCGCGACTCCAGCCGAGGCTCAGGGAGATGCCGGGCAGGGCATCCGCTGTTGGGGGCCTGGGCTGAGAAGGGGTCACTAGACAGAGCAGGTCCCCGGCGCATTTCCCGAGGGCCCTTGAGAAAGAGGTGGTGTGTGAGGCACAGAGGACAGCACTTGCGGGAGTGTTGCGCTGCACTGTCACAGTGACAGCCACAGGCGTCCAGGCTCACACAGGGCCCATGGTTTATAATTCCCCACTGATCGGCTGCTACCAGCTTGGCCTTCTCAGAAGTCCAGAGCATGAGAGCCCAGACAGACAGACACCCTGTGGGCTCCAGCCCAGGGCCTGACACTGGGGCGAGGGCAGCCCCTGTTCCCGGCCACACCCGGCGCCTTGTGATCAGAGGAGGGTAAACGCAGCTCCTTCTGAAGGGATCCCAGGAGCTTAATGAAATTAGATCCCTCAAAGTGGCCCACTGTGGTCCTGCCACCAGCCTGGGGACAGGCGTCCCTGGGGACAGGCGTCCCTGGGAACAGGCGCTGGACCCCATCTCCGGCCTCAAACCCAGGTAGAAGCCGGGCTTTGTGGCAGGGTCACAGGAACCGCCAGCACCACTCCCCCATGACTCACCCTAGGACAGGAGGGACACGAGTGCGTCCAGGAACTTGCTGCGGTCCTCGGCTTTCAGCTCAATCACTGAAGTAATGAAAGGAAAACATCACTGGGACGGGAGGAGCAGGGACAGAGCTGGGGGAGGCCACCAAGTACCAAGTTGACTCCCGCTGCCCGGCGCCCCAGTGGCGACAACCCCCTACCACATTCCAAAGGCGCAATTGGCTCCCTGGTGGCCTGGGGTGCTCTGGATCATGAGGCCTATTTAACCAGCCTCCCTGGCTGCCCTGTCGGTGCAGCTGCGGCTGTGGTCTGTGGGCAGGACCCTCGGGGCAGCCAGGGGACCAGCGGTGACACTCTGAACACCACAGCCCTGGCAGAGGGACCTCCCTCCCACCCGAGCTGTAAAGCAGGAGGTGGCCTTCCATCCTGTTCTGGCCAGTCTCTCAGCTTTGGTGTCCCTTCCGTAGAAGGGGACATGGTGCAAATTGACCCATCTCTGGGGGCCATCAGCCTCAGACAAGCACGAGGCCTCATCAGACAGGACAAAACCAGCCAGCCTGTGGGTAC